ATTTTGTGAATATACTTTTTTCCCCCATTGATTAGAATTCAAAATTTCACTTATAATCTCATATGCTTTTTCACCCCAAGAAAAAAAAAAAAAATCAATTCACACCTGTCCTACCAAAAAAAACCAATAGGATAAATAATTAGTGTGTACACATCAATCGTATCACAAACTTCTTAAAAATTTTTTCTTAAAAATGTCATATCATCTGGCAAAGAGAAACAAAACCCAAGAAGAAAAAGAATTTGCCAGGTAAGTGTTTTAAGGATGGTGGTGGTGGCTATTGCCTGCCACTCATTGTCACTCTAGTTATTATTAAAAGAATGGCAGTCATCTTCTTGATTTTCACTCACAACATATAAGTATATTTATTAACTGTCCAAATCTAATTCCATATATCAAGTAATGGTGATCTGACAATAATTACATCCAATGCTGCAAAGATAATTGGCAATGAAACACGTTTAATTCTTGGTATGTTTTATTATATATAAATTTTAGAATATTTTATATTAATTGATCAGTTGGTTTATTTAATGTTACATTCAGTAGATGATAATCATGATGATGGTTGCAAGATCTTATCAACTCCACACAATCCAACATTATCACCACAGTTGGACGTATCATCACAGGGTTGGCAAATGTACAGTCCATTGATGGTCTATTGGTGGTCCATTGGGTCCATTAGTGTAACAATTTAACCATATTTAGTATTTTATTGATGGCAATGGACCAGTCCAAAATCCATTAGTTCTCAATGGACCAGTCAATTTGCCAACCCTGTATCATTGATAACCAAATCTTTATCAACTCCACACAGTCCAACATTACCACCACAGTTAGACATATCATCAATAACCAGATCTTTATATTCCAATTCTCCAGTAATATTCATGAATGGCTCTGCTATTAGAGACATCTTAAATGATGTTCCTCACAATGAATTTTGGAATGGACAACACCTTATTCTTGATCAGGATAATGGATGGCTTGTCGAAGATGGTCATATGGAATCACAAAAATTTGAAGAAATTATTAACTATTGCCATTCTAATAATTCTGTAGAACTGCCATTAGAATTGAAAAACATGCTTAAGGAGTTACATAAAACTCAGATGACTGTGATAAAGACTAGTGCCGTAATCCAAAAAAAGAAAAAGTATGGTTGCAAAAGTGGTCGCAAAGGTAATTGCAACCACTTTTTATATGCCATAAATACAATTACTACACATCATCATAATTTATGGCACTAGTCTTTAGACTGTGAAGACATTAAGGGAAAAACAATTATCCATGTTCAAAGAGTTGAACACTGGCGATGTTTTATTTTACCAAAAAAGAATGGATTTTAACAACGTTAGATAACTGGTATACAAACTATATGATTATTAACCTTTGATTTATTTATTATATTACTAATGGGTAATTGCATATTAAATTAGGCTCAACTATATAGAATTATCATCAAATAATCCACTAATTAAGGAAAATAGTGAAGGACACAAGTCTGCTTCCATTTATTACTCACTTATTGATTGATTGGCACTTTATTACTTTCGTACACTTCGATCAGCATCATCTTCAGAAAGTTCTCTACTTTCATTACATAAAATTGACCAAAGTTCACATGGAAAACAGCCTGATATTTATTTCCATGATGATGTTTTAAAAATTGAACCTGGTAAATATGGATGATGTTAAGAGACATAATATTTTTAGGCAAACAAATGTAATTGAATCTTTCATTTCTATGCAATGATTTTCATAATAACTTGTGTAGGTAATGTGGAAATAGCAAAATATAACACAGTAGAAGATGCACTAAAGTACAATCTTGATACTAATAAGAGTCTTAGAGAGAACATATATGAAATTCATTATGCTTATGATAATCTTCCTAGTTCATATAAATCAAAAATTTTTGAAATGGATTTCACTTCTTTTGTGATATCTGGTAATTATTTGATAGTTGAGGATTTCTGTTAAGAAAAATATATGTTTTAAATTAACAAAATCTTGATATTTTGGAATTTGTTTTTCATAGATAATCAAATAAGTACATATGTAACTTGTTTAATTGGTCATCAATAGTGTTCCATGTCGCAATCCAAAAAAGGAAACCAAAGTGGTCTCAAAGGTGGTTGCAACCAGGTGCCACAAACCATTTTTATATGTCGCAAATATGGTTGCAACCATCACCAAGAATTGTGACCAGCATCTATAGTCATCAATTATATATTTCCACGAAGGTTTGTGAAATTTGGATTTCCTGTTTATTTATTATATTAATCTGCAAGATTCTTAACTCTAGATTGTTATGATATCACTAGATTTATCATATGATTTATCCAAAAGAATTTGCAGTAATTGAATTGATTGGTTGTATGAACAAAATTTTAAAGATGATGGTAAATAAGAAATATTATTTTACTTGTTTATATTACATTTAATTCATTGCATATTTTTTCACTTTGACAAAAATAGCTGAGAACCAACAAAACTTTGAAAATCATGGAAGAAGCAAAGACTGCAGACTAAGGTTTCTGGTCAAAACTGCTTCTATTAGTAGCCGAAATTGCCCGAATACTTTGGGCAAAAATTTTTTTTTTATAAGCCCAAACTACTTTTTGTTAATAGCCGAAATTGGGCGAAATTATTTTATAGTTGTTGGACCAGAAACCTTACTGCAGACGCAGATCCATTAAATGATACACCTAAAAAAAAATTTATTTATTACAACGATCCTCGTGTCTTACCTCATCTCATTCCACCAATCCCAAAAGCAAAAGTTGCATGAATTACATTCTCACAAACAATCAGACTGAATAATTTTTACTAATTAAAGGAATAACCAAAAATAAATAATGAAATAATGTAATAATATATTGAAGGATAAAGATAATATATAATAGTTATAAATTAGATAACATTTGATAATATAAACAATAAATAAATAAGCAGTAAAGAAAATACTATTTATGCATTAAATCATTCCACATAAGGTCTCCTGTATACCATATAAAACATTTTGTGAAAGAGGGGAGAATGAAACAAGGTAAATAAAATAACATGCAAGAGAGTTGCCTTCATAATATTTCTAATACTAAACTTTTAAATCTTGAAATTCCTTATGACATGATGTTCACTTTGTCTGGTTTTGTTGCAATATGTCCCATATATATATCACCGGATGAATTAGAAAGTTGTATCAAGCAAATTTATTAACTTGGTGATATTTATTTAATATTTTCAAACAAAAATGAAT